TTTCAGACTGTTAAGGATTTATATAACATATTTAAAGATATAAGTGGCAAATATGCTGTTCTGTATGTTGCCGCCTGATGTAAGCCGATCCAAAGTTCACAATACAGACGTTAATAACAAGAGATCTGAATCGTCACCTTAATATGAAAGATTTCGAACGTAAGGTAAAGTCTTGCCTTTTATGTGCAAAAGAGAAATACGCTTTTTTCAGAATTTCAGGTCCGACATCATCTGAAGCACAAAAGGCGTTTGTAGAAGTTCAGACATTGACCATTCAGAATGTACATGATACCTCTCATTTGTCAAATAAAATGTCTATGTTATGTACGGACAGGACTTGGATACTGTTGTAGAGTATAATTCTACTATACAATGAATTTATTGAGCAACATTGCATATCGATACAGTATGGTTTACTGGTGACTGTTGGAACACAACTTATTGTTCATATATGATTGCACTCAAAGAGGAACAAATACTATTCACAAATGCGATAACGACATTCGGATTAAAACTTATCCTAAGAATGTTGCTGAGTAATTTTTCAACGATATATCTGGTATAATTCAAACTAAACATATACACATAAAGTGTTGCCTTCTCTTGACGCATTTCTATACAACTGGTAGTGAGCCATAGCTATTCTGTGAAGGCTGCCATGACTTCAGAAAATGCAGCGGGCCCCAACTCGGTAAAAAAGGATGGAAGACGAGAGCCTAAACCAAAAAGCCACAGCGTCATAATGAAGAGGAATGAACATTCATTTTTAAACAGTAATACAAATCATGTTTTTAACTAAGTTTCGATTTACCGTTTGATTGATTGGACCGAAATGTTGGGCCTATGTTGGCAAGTCTGCTCCTAGTACGGACGCTTCGACGAAGTCTGGGGACTAACTTGAAGTAGTCTGGTGGACAGCGACTAGCAGAGGGATCTAGAATAGACATTTCGTTCTCTTTTGAACTTGTCATCTGGATGTATCTGCATTCCTCAGTTATTGATGGTGTTCCCACTGAGACTCAGACTCATTACCCATTGTTTCAAACTAAGGGCCGACAGGTGAACAGAGGCCAAATATTTCGGTTTAGCCAATCAAAAAGAAATTCAAAGGTGACTTAAATAAGTAATGACTGACACCCGTCACACCAGAGTTGGCTCTCCTAACTCAAACGGTCTAGTGGATAACTCTTTTGCATGTGAAGCGAAGGGTGCCGGGTTTCAGTCTCAGTGGGAACACCATCTCCCAATAGGGGATGCAAGAACTTCCAACTGACAGTTCTCAAATAAGACTAAATACGCATCCTGGATTCCACTTCTAGTCTCCATCCACCAGATTACCTCAAGTAATATAACTAAGTTACAGACTGATATGATGGAATGTGAGGAAATTCTGTATCAAGTGACATTAAAATCTGGGAACAGTAGTCTTTTCCTCTCTGTTGACTCCAGTGAAGAGAAAGATATGGGAAATCAAATAATTTATTGACCCCAACGGAATTAAGACAACTGCAACGAAATATCTATTTATCACTTCTGGAGTTCAAAGAGGAGGGTCCCAGAAACTTTGATTGTACACCAGTAACTAGTATGGCGTGTCTAGTCCTTTCTTTGGTGCAGACTGAATTCTATCAGTCATGTTCGCAATGTGGCCACCATTCTGGGTAGCTCGCCATCACGGTGCACCTTGATTTGACGATATTAGATGGTTGGAGGTAATCGGCTACTGGAAGCTCTACCTGATCTAGGTTTCGTCCTAGTCGGCAATCACCAGTCAGCAAGGCGTATCTGCAACCTCGAAGGAACCCATGTTCCTTCTGAGATTCGAACCCGCGTCACCCAGTGCTACAGTCAGAGACGTTATCACTGAGTTATTCGGGCTTGCAATTGACCTCCTGTAGGACTGTAGTAGATACTTTGATTGGACACTGGTAACTAGTGTGATGTGTCTGGTTGTTTCTTTGGTGCAGACTGAGATGACACGAGTAAATTTACTGCACTGTAATTGGCCGGTGTATCCACGTAGTTTTTCCCTATTCTCCCAAATCAAATACATCCTATAACAAATGTAGGTGTAATAATGGCAGTTTGCCACCTGGCATGACTCACGAAAGTCTGGTTAACAAGTTAGGATGGGCCAAGTGAATGAGCTAGACCATTTCGTGTGTACAATAGCAGACAACAACATAACAACATTTAAAATCATTCCTAGTAAAGAAGTAATAAGTAAGCGAGATCCTAGATGAGATATGATTGTGATTGGTTAATTTTCTAATGTAAATTTTTGCAACTAAGTGAAGCATTTCAGGTTGCCACACTTCACACGGCATATAAAGTAGAGAAAAAGGTGAACAGAAATGTACGAAAGACTGCTTACGTGGAGAACCATGAGGATCTAATGCATTTGGGAGATTGCGACGAGTCATTACATTTGACATCGGTGAAACTCATGAAAAACGTATGAAGATTTGTGCTCCAAATGTTCAGATGGCTGCATTTCGCCGGTACCTTCGTATAGAAGGATAATATTGCCCGCCTACTGGGAACTGACAGTACTGTCTACTGTTGATAAGTCCATTTCCCAATCACTGAAGTCAGTTAGGAACATATGCATTAGTGTATTTATGAACAAATTAGACTAAAATGGAGACAATGAGAATCTGTGTCGAACGCCATACCGTTAAATGATATCTCACGACAAATTCTTACATGACTGCGTGAGTTCATGTGAAGATATAATCAATACACCGTCCTCGTGGTCTAAGGCATGATCGATTTTCATGGGCTTATCTCTCCTATGCATCACTTAGTCTGTGCACATTTAGTGAACTGAGAATTTTACATATTATGTCAATCAACCCAATCCCTCTATGATTATAAGATGAAGACTTGTTTTCCCCTTATAAATTGGGATAATCAAATACTTACACCGAATCAGAGGGACTATTTCGGATTTCCAGAGAGTTTGTGGTTACCATCACACTTAACCACCACTAATATCACGCCGTCGCATCTCGCTACTCTGCCTCGTTTCAGATTAGATAGCCTTTGAAGCCTCAGTTGTGGCTGGAGGACCGACGTTGATGTCACACAAAGGTATATGTTGGATGATGGGCGAATTTAGTGAAGCTGTAATTCAGTTAAATTGCTCCTAAGAGTAATTCCTCCAAAGTTCCACTAGCCCGCCTACAGAGGTAATTAAAACACCGTTCTTTACGGAAATTTTTCTCCCTGTTATTGTCATTTTACAATCTACATCCTTCATTAGTCCATATAGTGTTCTGGTGTAACATTGATGCTTTATTCTATCCCTTTGGTTGATGCAGCCTGCTTTGAGAAGGCTTTAGCCCCTCACCAATCTTCTTGAATCACTCACTTCTGATTAAGTAGCAGGATTCCACTAGTATTTAATAGTCTTTTGTCCTACGTTATCAACAACTGTCACCAGTGTATCTACAGCTGATGGTATGTCACATCATGCTTTTTCGGGATGAGACCCGCATTTGCTCACTTCTTCGCCAAAAAAGGACTGTGTATTCTCACCAAATTTAGTGATCATCCGCTTCATAGTTTTTTGTTCACTTAGTGGTAGACATATACGTTCACGGACTAGTCAGTGTTTGGTGTCCGCGCAGGTGTTCCAGAGACGGTGGCATTCACCAGCAACCCTTTCTATCTTTAGTTTGTAGCTACAAGATATATATGAGTATATATCTGACTTTATGATAGGGGTCTCCATCCTTCACTATGTAGGAAGTTACGCGTAAATCTACCTGTTTATATTAAGTTAGTGCAAAACAGAAGAGGATGATTATCCGAATAAAACGTTGAAAGCTTACGACCATGTAAACACCCATTAGGTGGTTCGCATAACTGAAGAGCACACTTTTTGTTATGACCACTAACATTATTACGAGGGATATCCTTGTTGAGAATAAAGGCCTTTTCTTATGTATTTCGACTCCTTTGTGGGACTTATGTGCACAGTTCCTTCGCCGGCCCACACTTAGTGGGAGAGGATTCTAAGAATTAAACATATACCTACTATGGGGTGGACAGATAAAGATCACGGTGGGCTACATGGGTATTTCCAGGCATACGTAGTTTGCGCCTAAGGTTTGGGGTAGAGGAGTGATGAAGGTTATGGTCAGTAAACGACAGCCTCAAGAGCAACTAGGTGAAAAAGATAGGTCTAAATATAGCTATAAAACATAATAAGAAGCAAAATCGAATCGTTACAAGTAAAGTAGTCAACCCAGTAAATTAGAATCAGAAGGCAGATATGATGTCTCCATTTAGTACACAGATGTATGCCTGTTAATTATCCAAGTAGATACAAACTACTGACTGGTGGAAGAAGTTTATGGTAGTGGCATGTAAACAGCATATGAACACCGGATAAAATGACATACTATTTAGTGTAGTACCTCCAAAAATTCATCATAGTTTTATGCCTGAAACAGTCAATGACTGAATCAAGCTGTGAAGTGACAAGTTTTGTGTTGTGGAAAATGTAGACTCCAAATAGTGATAAGAAACTAGAGCAGTGGCATAGCTAGGGGTTATTATGTTAATTGGTTTCATTCCGAGATTTCGGTGATGACTACTGGGAGGGAATTTTAAAACAGATGTATTTTAGTTTTACCTTGGCTTCTTTTAAAAACTTAAATAACCGGTTATCTGGCGCTGACAATTGTGAAGAGACATTACGAACTAATTCAGGAAGTCTTCCAGTATTAGTTAACTAGCGTAGAGCGTGGAATGATCCAAGACCAAGTCTGGCTTGAACTCTTTTTTATTTGGGGTTCCTAACGCAGAATTTGATTTTAGTGCAATATAACCCCAGAAGTAATTCAAGGCTTTTAGGAGGCTTGAATTTCACAGATAATTAAATATCATCAATTATATCTATGAATCAGAGATGAAAACTGCTGAGTAATAGCTTTTATTCATTATCGTTCTATCTGTTTAATGATCAATGGCAAGAATGTGTTTGGTTCGTTCTACAGCTGTTCCTACAAGCTGGTAGGTGGGGCGGCTAGTTAAGTTGTGAGTTTAGGTATAACTTCAAATGGGAGACGCTACATCGTCAGTTACAGTGGTAATTATATTTTCTGCAATTATTTGACTGTAACTAGGATATACCTACATCGATTGAAGATGAACAAGAAAGTAAACTCAAGGCAAAGTATCCAGGTCTCAATCGACAGGGTGTTGGGTCCCTCATATTGCAGAAGAGACTAAACCGTGGAGTAAGTGTTCACCTACAAATGTATTTATGTTATATATCCATGTTCTCTTGATAAATTGAAATATTCGGCATAGTTTAGATAATACCAGCATTCCCACTTTTAGAGTGACGAAAGCAAACACCACTTGACACATCGTGAATCAGGCCTATGACTCTATAAAGCCATCCACAGACTGCCGACAATTTATTAGAAGCATTTTACGTACTCGTTTGTCAGTTGCAAACAATGGAGTACAATATTTTAAAAGTATTTCAAATACTTTGATCTATGTGGGGTATTTTAAACAAGAACCTTTAAGAAACCGAAGCTTACAACAATTCTAAACTTATTCCGACCTATTCTTCGATAATGCCTTTTTATGGTAAATGAATATTTTGTCTACCCACTATGTTCTGAAATAACGCTAGTCGTGCTTTAAAAGAAATCCGGGTGCTGAATTAAGTCTTTTCGTTCTGAAGTAACGCTAGTCCGTGCTTAATATGTCCTGTGAGGGCTGGAACAACGCTGATAAGCAAACCCAGTAGGTTCTGATCTACTGAAAATGCCTAGAAAAAGAAAAGGGTGCTGAGTTAGTGCCAGTCATGTTGGAAACTAGCACTGAGTCCTAGTCTGTGCCATTAAAGAATCCACTTCAGAACAGACTCAGAATTTACTCACTATAGAATGTTAGAATTATTTCAGAATTAGTGATATTTAATTCAGCATTATGGTAAGCTTGGACAAGTGTGGGACGGAGCTGTATACAGCTAACTGCATACATTTGCAAGTGGTTGTCCAGGGACATCCCATTTTCTCAATTAGTTGGGATATATCAGCAGTAATATACAAATGTTATGACGTGTAACGCCCTCATGAATACTTGTGGGACCATCGATTTCCTGAAATTTTCGGGTATGCGTCTTATTCTTATACGTTAAAAACCGATAAAATGACTATTTGCAAGCATTCGACCGAAAGCTGCTACCTTGACGTGGTGGTCGGGCTTGAACACTGCAATGACCCAACAAGCTATACTGGCTGGAACTTATGTTCCTGCAGGTCCTACCATGCCAGAAAGGTTGTTTGGATAGCAGTTAGACTAAAAGCAGTTACCCAATCCAATCCTATGATTTCAAATAAATCACAAAATTTCATGCCGGATCGGCCGGGGCCCGGATTAACAACGACCGCGCTTTCTGCTGCCGTGTCACAGGGCAGAAGTGATAAATACGCTACTGAGACACACCAAATAAAAAAGAACAAACAAAAACAGGCCGTGTGTGACCGGCCTCAAGCAGTTGTCCCCTGGGCTCTGCGGTCACGCAACCAACTTCCACGGTGTGGGCAGCCGGGAAGTACCAATCGCCCTCACAATCCGAAGTGCACGCGAAACCCCTCTAATCCTCGCTCATCTTTGTCTTCATCTTCATCTCTATTATCTTGCCCTCCTTCTACCAATGCAACTCCTCTACTTGTTGGCTCTTCACTTCCCCTTCACTCTGTGTGCACTGATAACGATGGAAGCCAAAAAGCCACCACCGATTGTCTCCTAAAACCACGCCACCAATTTTATATAGGAGCATTTAATGTTAGGACACTCTGCCAAATAGGACAACAAGCATCTCTAGCCAAGACTCTGGCATCCCGAGCCATTGATGTATGTTGTGTTTCAGAAACACGCATACAAGACCCAAGTGTGGTTATTCACCTAACCCCACCTGGCCAACAGGATGAATCTGCAAAATTCACCTTGAGGGTGTCAGGAGATGCGACGGCTAGCTCACGAGGATTAGCTGGTGTTGGGATAGCTTTAAGTACTAGAGCAGAAAAGACATTACTTGACTGGATCCCGGTAGATAGCCGAATGTGCGCTGTCCGCCTGAACGGATCAGTGAAAAGGAGAAAGGACTGCACTACTCGCCGATGCCTTTTCGTAATCTCCGCCTACGCCCCCACTGACTGCAGTTCGGATGAAACGAAGGATGAGTTCTACCAAAAGCTGTCTAGTTTGCTGCGAAAGGCTAGACGCTCAGATATAGTCGTTTTAGCTGGTGACTTTAATGCTCAAGTAGGGAAATTGTGTCAATCTGAGAAGAATGTTGGTGGCACATACGGAATTCCGTGCCAGCGAACCGACAACGGTGACCGTCTCCTACAGTTCTGTTCAGATAATAATTTGTTTCTTGTAAGCACTAACTTCAAACACAAGGAGAGACACTGTTTGACCTGGCGACCCCCATCATCAAATCAACGCTGGACACAAATAGACCACATAGCAATAAGCTATCGTTGGCGTGGGTCGGTAGGAGATTGTCGCTCCTTCTGGAACACGTGTGTAGATACCGATCACGCACTGGTCCGCGCTCGTGTGTGCTTACGACTGAACGGACGTAGGAAACAGCGAGCGGTAAACCCATCACGTCCCCAGCTCGACCAGGGAACTAAGTCCCTATTTGAGGAAGAACTAGCTAAACACATATCTGAGTTTGACAGCTGCGCTCACCCTGAAGAAGCCTGGAAGAATATTCAGTCAGCCATAGATACAGCTGTAAAAGCTGTGAATAAGGTAATTCCAAAGGTGAGTAAAAACCACTGGATTTCGACTGCCTCATCCGAACTGATAGATGCTAGAAGACTTATTCCGGCGAGCTCCGAATTCAATGAGGAGCGAAAGCTGCACAAGAGGAAACTTACGAAAAGTCTCCGCAAGGACCGTGAACAGTGGTGGTTGACTAAGGCGAAAGAGATGGAAAAAGCATCGGCGATAGGCAACACCAGACAACTATTCAGGCTTATCAGGGAAACAGGTGGTAAAAAACAAATGATAAGCGAAACAATCTCCGAGAAAAATGGCACCATAATTAGCTCCCAGGATAGACGTCTGGAGCGCTGGAAAGAACACTATGAGGAGCAGTTTAATTGGCCCACAGCCACACTTAACCTACCGGACATCCAACACCTCCCTGAATGGGAGATAGACACAGGTCCTCCGTCCTTAACCGAGGTTACTAAAGCTGTCACCAATCTGAAGCTAGGCAAAGCAGCAGGACCTGATTTATTGACTCCAGAGGTATTTAAGTACGGAGGCGACAGTTTACTGTCTGCGTTAACGGAGGTTCTAGGCAGCGTCTGGGAATCAGAGGAAGTCCCATCGGGTTGGTGTAAGTCACTGATCATCCCGATATACAAGAAGGGGGACAAGTCGTCTTGTGATAATCACAGAGGGATTAGCTTGACTAATATAGTATCTAAAATCCTAGGCTCAATAATACTGCGTAGATTAAGTGGTGCTCGGGAGACACAAACACGAGAAAACCAGGCAGGTTTTAGGCCAGGTAGAGGGTGTATTGATCACATCTTCACCCTTCGACAGATTCTAGAACATAGGCATTCCTACCGGCGTCCGACAATCATTATATTTCTTGACCTAAAGGCGGCATTCGATTCTGTCGACCGGGAGGTTCTCTGGCGATGCTTGGCTGTAAAGGGAATGCCAAGAAAATACATTGCACTGATTAAGGCACTCTACTCGTACTCATGCAGCCAGGTGAGGGCTTATGGCGAGTTGTCATCTGAAGTGGTGACGACTAGTGGCGTCCGTCAAGGATGCCCATTATCCCCATTCCTATTCAATTTCATCATAGATGTACTAATGGACTTAACCCTAACTCACTTCAGCGACTCAGGGATTGACTTGCTACCAGGGAATAATCTCGTTGACTTAGAATATGCGGACGATATAGTCCTTCTAGGCGAGGACTCTGACAAAATGCAGAGTCTACTGAACACCCTGAGCAACAATCTCCGCATGTTTGGCATGCGATTCGCCCCTATAAAATGTAAGATGATGCTGCAGGATTGGACTTCATCGACCCCTAGATTAGAAATAGGAAGTGAAGTGGTAGAACACGTTGACCGCTTCAATTACTTGGGAAGTACCATCAGCCCCAACGGGTTGATCTCCGACGAAATTTCAGCACGAATACAGAGGGCTAGGTTCGCATTCGCCAGTTTTCGCCGTCTCTGGCGTAGACGCGATATCCGACTATCGACCAAAGGGCGTGTGTACTGCTCAACAGTCCGCTCCGTCCTCCTTTATGGCTGTGAGACCTGGCCATTGAGAGCAGAAGACATGAAAAGATTAGCTGTCTTCGATCATAGGTGTCTGCGTTCTATCTCCCGCGTGAAGTGGTATAATAAGGTGAGCAATATTGAGGTTAGGCGTCGAGTGCTAGGTAAGGCGGGGAAATCAATCGACGAGACTGTGAAATTACTTCGACTGAGATGGTTAGGACATGTGCTACGTATGCCTAGTCATCGCCTTCCTCGACGGGCAATGTTAGCTGATATAGGGTCAGGCTGGAAAAGAGCTAGCGGCGGTCAAACCAAAACATGGCACCAATCAATGAAATCCACAACAGTTAATCTAAGTCACGTAGGAAGATGTAGACTTCCTGGTTGGGGCCCTCGGGATGGTAAAAACCAATGGTTGGAAACAATTGGTGACATGGCTCAAAATCGTTCTCAGTGGCGCAGATGCATCCACTCCTTGTGACTTATGATTTCCAATTAAACTTTTGTTCTCCGTTATTACTATTCCTTTGTCTCACACCTCTGTTTACTGTCTATATTATGCATTTCTTCTACTTTCTTCTCTTGCTTTGCGTGCTACATAGATTGTGGCGACTTGAACTGCCGCACATATGTGCAAAGTTCTATGTCGAAAACAGACAGACAGACAGACAGATTCGAAATTAAATGCAGTGCATCGTGAGGTGTAATCGATTAACTTGGTACTTAACAGTTAGCCTGATGTATAATCTGTTGGAAACTAATAATCCAACAGTATTGCATTACTCACAAATTCCTGATTAAATATCCTAATTTCAAATCTCAGCATTATCTGCCTGTGACGCTTCATTATTTGTTACCGGGCTTACGCCGTGTAATCATTCATTTCTAGCTTGTTTTTTGATCCTCATGTTATTCTCTCTGTCGCTTATGTTGTCATGTTTTCATTTGACCAACCCTTAGTGGTTTTTCTAACCTAATCCTACGTCACCAAGCATTGTTCATCAAGGAAGGTGATGGCTTCGCATGCATAGCACGTCTCCTAGCTTTGTCAGTCGATGCAGCTTCAAAACCTCATATAGTGACTTTCCTTCCTTATCTAACTCTTTGCCTAACCTCAATATTACACGACTTAACATGGGAGATAGAACGTAAAAACTTACAGTCGATTGCTGGCTTCTTCAGGTCTCAACCCATAAAGATGAACAGAGTGAACTACTGTTTGGCATACACGTCGTTCTATTGATAGACGGATATCACGTTTACGCTTAAGTCAGCAAATGCCAGATTAGTCTTTCGTATCCCTGCTGAGATTTCATCACCAATCTTCTCATTAGGACTGAAGTGACTTCCCAAATAAGCGAAGAGTTCAACACATTCAATCAATCCACTTCATATCTTTAAGCTAGGGGTCAATGCAGAACAATCCCGCGGAATCATCTTATATTTGACAGGACAAGTAGCATGCCAGACATTCCACGTCGTTCAAAAGTCTGCATTTGGTTAGCATCTGTATTATCTTCTTACTCTAAGTGAACTATATTGTTAACTGTTGGTGAGTTAGTTGCTAAGTCTCCAAAGTCAGTCACATTCATTAGTACACCTATGGTGAATTCAAACTAAAATGGACACTATGGGCATTCCTGAAGGGCACTACTAGTTGTTACCACAGGTGAAAAATCTATAATCTGTCAAAGGATGGAAATATGACCATCACATCCTTGTCCAGGCTTAAAGCCCACCTAGTTTTCACGGGTTTGCTTGCCTTAAGCACCACTTAGTCTATGCATGATTATTGAATCTAGAACTTTAGATACTATATTAATAAGGCATGTGCCTCTATGATTATCACATGAAGATTTATCTCGCTTATGAACTGGGACAGTCAGTGATTAACACCAGTCCAAGGGAACTATTTCGGATTCCTAGACATTACCTTATATCTTTGTTAGCCCAGACAACACTTCGTCACCATCGTGCTTAAACATTTGTGGGACCAAGCCCTCGCATCCTGCTGCTTTGCCTCGTTCCAGATTAGATAGCTTTTACAACCCTAATTACGGTTGGAAAGTCGATGTTTACATCCCATACAGTTGTGTATTGGACACTAGACGGATTGAGCATGGCTATAATCCAGTTAAATTGTTCCTTAGTGTCCACCCCCTCACATTTCAGTCGTCTATCTTGATAAGCAACCCGAGCATCGTTGTTCTTGGAGATAGTCTCTCTTATCATTTACTTTTCACAACCCGTATTCCTAAGGGTCCTAAATAGTTCTCTAATTATTTTATATATTATGTTTTGACTTGACTATTTTCTGATTTAAAATATAGGCTTATCACAGTATTGACATCAAGAAATACTCCATACAAAGTATTCTGACAACAATATAAGAAAAAGAAAGATAAATTAGTTTAGTGAGAGGATGAAACAGGTAAGCATACTTATGTACGTTGAGAGGAGCCTTTGTTACTTTTGGCTGTAGAAGAAAGTCGGAATGTTTTTCATTGATATCGATGGAGTTTTTCTTGAATATCGTCTCTGTATACAAGGAGAGTACTTGCCTTAATTTTGTCGAGTGGAGAAACATTAGTAACAGGTTTTTGTGTATTTATGACACATATATGTCTAAGCATAAATTGTGTTTTTGTTTAAACTGTTTTCTTTGCAGCACAAATACTTTGATTCTGGTGATTACAATATGGCAAGAGCAAAGATATTACAGCAGCAAAAACATGTACTCCCACCGCAAACAGAAGAAGCTATCTTGCATGAATCAACTGGTGAAACTATGGCCACTCCTGATAGTGTACCAGCTGTTCGCAAAAAATCCATCCTATCCCCAACTAGTACAGACTCTGTTAATCCTGTAGCTTCATCAGCTCCACCGAAGGCTACACTGTCACATCCATCTGATAGTACAAGTCTGTTATCAGCATAACCAATCAGAAAGAGAAAAAACTGTCTTCGACTTAATGTTATTTTGAAGAATACATTTTTAGGTACTTCAATCCACATGACATTTGTTATGGTACTGTATTAAAAGAAAGAATGACCTTGTAATGTTTGTTAATCGTGTTGTCTGCGTCTTTCTGTTGCTTGTTTCACTGTGGACTTATATGGCATGCATTTCCTCTGTTTAGTTTCCAAACAATCTATTTTAAGAAATCTTATGCATTTCCATAATTATCCATTGCATTTGTCGTTCAACTAACCTATGGACACTAAACTCTTGACTGGTAATATTATGATTACATATATTTATGAACATTGTTCTTCTTCTTCTTCGTTTTTTCTAGATCAGCTTAGTTTTTTACTATGTGTAATTCTCCGGTTCCTATGAGCGAATTGTATGTGACTCTGTTACTTGCTTTCTCGATTTTACTATATATATGTGCGTGCTACAATGAGATTGAATGAAATCCATGTCATTTGAATTAAAATTATTTATGTTTTTCATCTGGAGTTTATGTGTTTCACATAGGTTGAAATCAATCAACGACGAGGCTATTAAGTTACATAGATTGAGATGGCTAGGTCACGTGCTGCGCATGCCTAACTACCGCCTCCCCCGACGGGCATTACTAGCTGATACAGGTGCAGGTTGGAAAAGAGTAAGTGGTGGCCAAACAAAAACATGGCATCAATCCATGAAATCCTTGACAGTTAAACTTAGTCAGGTAGGAAGATGCAGACTTCCGGGTTGGGGCCCTCGGGACTCTAAGAATCAATGGCTGGAGACAATAGGTGACATGGCTCAAAATCGTTGTCAGTGGCGCAGATGTATTCAGTCTCTGTAATCTTTCATATTCCTTTCTACCATTACTCATTCTGTTTCACTCTTATACTTATCTAAATTCTATTGATTCTCTTCTCTCATTTTCCTGTCTACCTTTGTGTGCTATTTGGAACGTGGCAACTCGAACTGCTGCACTTTGGTGCCAAGTTCTGTGTGGAATCCAGCCGGCCAGCAGGTTGGATTACGCAAGGAATCTTGCTTTCAAGTGAGGGGGCAGGGTTCGTAGGATTGTTTTGGATTTTGAGGGGTTTTACTGCTGTTTGTGATGTCTTACAGTGTGCTTTTATTTCAAGTAAGCACATCATTTGTGATTGACTTGTAGTAAAGTAACCGTCTTTAAGGACTTCCAACATTCAAATTTGCATACATTTTCTACACATCTTCTAATCGCAAGTGAAAGGTAGAGCATGCATGCTTATCGGCCCAGAGTATCACACTGCTACAACATATATTAGGGATACTTAACAAGTGGGGAAAAAGTGAAATACTAATAACAGTTTCAGCTAAACGATGAAAAATGTCGAACAGAAAATAGATGAAAATGCAGTACAGATATCTCTGCATCGCTACGATTAGTTTTATGCCATGTTACATGCAGTTCCTAACCGTCAATTAAGGTTGTTTAATGAACCCCATCCAGAAAGTCTATTTTCTATCATTACAGGAAAAGTAATTTCATCACATGCATGTTATTACTAAGAAGGTATCCGTACACTTCGTTAGTGTAAGCAGACTATGGAAAGATATCGGTGGGTTTCACAATCCTTCTTTTTTCACGGGTCGTTTCAATCGGACAGCAACACCTGGAGTCCAGTCAAATACCGATTTTCCTGCTCTGGCAAGAAATGCTATTCCTACACCAAAACGTCTATGCGAATTAACCGAAGAATCTCCCTACAACCGTAAGGTTAATTTAGTAGATTCACCATGTTAGCCAGGCGAGGTTATGCGAATAACTGCACTTGAGGTTTCTGAGACATAACAACATTCTTAGGTTGAGATGCCACAGTTCTGACCAGTGAGACTTGTTTGATTTGGCATAAAGTCTGGATGTTGAGTATACCATTATGAAGTTATCAGCATGGTTTTAAAAGACCATTGCTTGCAGAATTGAGAGAGGTGGATTATCTACCTGTGGAATAGTATTAACAGGGACAGGAAATTAGGAAGATAGGGGTGGTTGATGATTAGGAGAGCTTTGTGTGCTTATAGAAGTGTTTGGGTGGCTATTATATCTCGACAGCCTATACTGTAAAGGTTGATTTCTTACTGAAATGCTTGAAACCTATGAAGCAATAGTGTCGCGTGACCGCAGAACCTAGAGGACGACTGCTTAAAGCCGGTCACACATGGTCTGTATGGAGCAGTTGTTGAATCTGGGCCCTTATGAGGATGCTATCGCCGTGCGGTAAGCTGGGATGTACATTTTTGAGTCAACCTTTTCTAACTCCTCATCCCCAGTGTGGAGAGGTAGCTTGTTGGTCATCCGAGTGGACACCTTGCTGCTGTTACACACTGTCTCGAGCAATGCATTCCCCTCAGATTTCAAGATGTAATCTTTACACTATGGCTGCTTTTAGTCTAACAGTTATTACAATATGAAATCCGGAATACTACGTCAAGATAGCAGCTATCGGTCAGGCTTTTCCTTGGTAAAGGGGGATCTTGACTTTTAGTTGATTATACCATCTTTTATTAATTGTAAGTTTTGACTCTCAGTCTTAGTTACATAGTCATTTATTCAACCCCATGTTTCAAATGTCCGAATTAAACTAAGTGAGCCTAACTCACAATGTTTTGTTGATTTTTTAAATTATCATAATATAGTAACTTACCCAACCCTACAATTTATACCCTTGAGTATCTCGTGTCTACCCATGCCTTTTCCCTAGATCCTTTCATCGCATTACAAATATAATTACATCCATTCGGCACATTTTACCAAATTAATGTTACCATTCATCTGCAAACCTTAATTCTTAATCTCACTGTTTGACATTTTGTTTATCCAATGAGGATAAGTTAACAAAGAGATCTCTTTTCATAAGTTCATTTCAAAACTGTACAGTTATATATGGGTTTATATAAACAATGTTAATTGAAAAAAAGGTTAGAGGTTATTATCAGTTAGTAATTAAATAAACCAAAGTGTATGAGAGATAACTAATACTGAGATGCACATTAAGTGTCCAGTTTTTATTCAACGGTAGAATATACCGTCAAAAAGATGGACTAACAATTTGTTCTCCACTTGGTCCATTAATCGGTGATTGCCGTAAATTGCCCCCAAGGAGCCATAAATCAGTTCAAAGTTTACATAGATAATACCTTTATCAACATCGATAAAATGCACTCTACTCATGAATGGATATCCAACCTCTTTCGCTGCGAAACCTGGATGTTTTGAGGAAACAATTAATTGTAAATCTAAAACTGAAGAAAATTCTCTGATGCCATCTTTCGATAGCAACTCGAAGGACTTTGTTGCATCTCTGTGTCTCACCTTGTCCACATATGCTCTTGTAAACCAGAACATCAAAGACAAGATCCTGCTGTTTGCAACTGCAGTGAGCATTCACCACTTCACTTGCTCCTGTAGAGTCACGTACATAGGCTGCACCAGCAGGACATTGTCCAGCATAATTGTCAGGAGGAGAACGCAGGACAGTCAACAGCTCAGTTATGGAGCACATTACTTCTGATCATCCAGCACCAGCGGAGACTACATTCATAGTTATATATAAAATACGATCAAGCCGTTTACAAGGATTTTGCTCGCACCTTCTTCACGCAGCTGAAACTTTAGCAATTCAGAAAGAGAAACCTCATCTGTGTGTTCAGAAATGTATTATCCAGTCTATTTTACTACCAGGGAAACGTATACTACTGTTCTAGGAAGAAAGAAGAGACAAGGAATGGCTCTCAACGCATATCTGGAAGCTAATAGAAAAGACAAGGATGGTGAAAGAAAAGATCACCCAATGCAAAGATGGACAACAGAAAGAGAAGCTAAGTCCAATGTACGCTACCCTGAAAAAAGCACTGTAAAAGAGTTCTAGGAAAGACAAAACACAACTCTACGACAAACTGGCTGGTAACTAGTCAGGGCGCAGAAAAAATAGACCGGGTTTCTATCCGGGAAGAGATCAATCAAAATGGCGAAAACTATAAAAGATGTCCCAGGAAACCTAATTATCGAGGAGGAGAAACGAATAAAGCAATCTTCAACTATGCCCATCGTTATCGAACAAAGCATGGAATGGCAGTCAAACCTCTACCTCAACTTCATTGACTTTGAAAAGGCCTTCATCAGCCAGTGTTCTCCGTGAAGTAATTTGGAAACTACTTCAACGGTACGGTGTCCAGTACCCAAGTCTTTATCAACCTCATTCAACAGCTGGCGATCTGAAAATGCCATGTGTCAAGTGATCTACAACGGCAAACTCAGCGAGTCATTCGAAGTGAATACATGAGTAAGACAAGCTGCCTGCCTATTATCTCCGATGGTACTCTTAATTGTGGTGGACTGGATCATGCGTCAGACTGTGGGGAATGAGAAGACAGGAATACGTTGGACCACCGATAAGAAGACTAGAAGATCTGGATTTCGCATGTGGATGATTTATGTATAATGTCACACAAACTCGAAGACTTGCAAGCGAAAACCAACAAACTAGCAGAAGAGGGAGGCGGCGAAGACAGGACTCCAGGTGAACATAGAGAAGACGGAGGTGATGAAGATAACCGACCACCATCACCAACAACAACCAGCACCAATCACCATCAACGGGAGAGATGTGTCAGAAGTTACCCATCCTCACTTATCAAGGAAGCAGTGTTCTAACCACAGGCGGAACGGATGAAGATATCAAAACCAGCCAGCCAAAATCGGAAAGGCAAGATACATCTCCATCAATCTGAAATCGGTTCGAAAATCTCCTGCACTCAGCCAGCATAAACAACAAGATTCGGATTTTCAACACAAATGTGAAGTCAGTCAGTCTTCTATACGGGTGAGAAACTTGCACTGCGCATCATGCAAAGCATTTCGAACAGGCCACTACAGACATTCATCAACAGCTGCCTCCTTCGCTGGCTGGCTCGATACTGAAGATCAAATGGCCAGACGGTGAGAAAGAATTAGCAACAAGAAAATCTGACTGGGAACAAACCAACCAAGAGCCGACTGCTGAACAACTATGCAGGCGAAAATGGAGATGGATGGGGCAGACGTTGAAGAGGCCGTCGAATGACATGGTGCGCTCGAGTGGTGTCTCAGAGGGAAGCGACGAGTGAGTCGTCGGTGCGAAGGTGACATGGAGGAAATGAGAGATTATGGGCAATCGTGGACCCATCTAGACATGAATATCGGAACAACAAAGTTCAGCGAAGAGTCTCTTTTCGGCGAATTCATTCACTTAGCTGTACAATCGCATTGTTTTGTGTGTGTACATTAGGATTATTAAACAAAATAAAATAAAAATTAGTTAGGTTACTGTTTACGGCATCAAAATGTTTCTAAAATGTGATGAATAATCAAAATTGTAACTAGGGGGTGAAGATTGGTGAGTATTGACAAGGGTGGCGTAATATGAAGTAGGATGTAAATGGAGACACGTATCCAGAAAATAAATTACGTAATAGAA